CGAAATGGAATTATTCATCGCTGGACCTGCTGCTAAGGGATAGCACTATCAAGTAGTACACCGACGGCTTGAAAACGTCGGAGGGGATTGGTGCAGGGGTTGCCAAACTCTTCATTCCCATGGGAAGTTTTCCGAGCATTTTTCAGGCCGAAGTCTGTGCTATAAGTCGGTGTGTAGAGATAAACCTCCAACGCAACTATCGTAACGAAAGTATTGCTTATGAGGTTAAATCGCTACTAGTGCAGGAGTGTATAGAACGGCTGAACAGCCTATCAATTCGCAACCAAATGCACCTTATTTGGGAGCCTGGTCAGAGGGGTATAGCCAGGAATGAACTGGCTGACGAGCTGGCCCGCTCCGCAGCCTCTACAAAAATGGTAGGACCAGAACCATACGTAGTGGTTGGTCCACATACCATGAAAGAGCTGCTCCGTAGGGGGGAAAGAGCAGGTAGGGAGAGACATTGGCAACAAATTCAAGGAATGCGTCATGCCAGGTTGTAATGGGGGGTTACGACCTAAGACGGTTTAAAGTGTAATCAATCTCCCGAGGAACGAGTTCCAGCTGCTTGTCTCGTTCTACACCGGCCATTGCAGGCTCAATAAGAATCTATGCAACATGGCCTTAGTCTCTTCTGCAAACTGTCGGTTCTGTGACATGGAGCCGGAAACCCCAGAACACCTGCTAGTGGACTGCACAGCAGTCTGCAGCCGCAGAATTAAGGCCCTGTAATCCATGTTTCCAAACAGGGGTCGCATCGCTTCACTAGCACCCAGCAGAATATCTATCTATGACAGCTATATGTGATAGGGGCCCGATTTCGCTGGTTCCGAGAAATGAGCCGTTTCTTCGGACGTAAGCCAAATTTCAGGACGATATTTCAAAAACTGAAGGACTAGTTCAGGTATATAAAGGCAGACTTACAGACGGTTGGTTAAATTACACAAGACAACAACCTCTCTAATCCTAAATGATTTTGTATCTTCCAACTGCCCAGCATTATTTTTTTCACCTGCTACTATATTACACAAAGGAAGTTGTCTTACTTTTATGTTTTTTAATTTTTTTATTATCATGAACGGTTGGCTGCTTACACCTTTATAAAAATGACATCAATCAATTATAAAGCAAATCAAAGTAATGGGTGAAATAACAAAACTGAAAATTTATGTAAGGCCCATAGCAAGTATCCGAATATAGTTTTGAAAATGAAATCGAAAGCACGTCAAAAGCTAATTTACATACTGGTAGTTGTGCTTAGTCAATGAATTTATTGTAAATTTTAACGTATACTGTATTTATGTTCACATTTCTCCTACCTTTTTTATTTATAATAATTTTTGCTAAAAGCAATATATATTTTACCCACTAGAAGATTTACAAATGAACTACCAAACATAAACAATTGTGTTCAAAAAATTACACGAACTAATCAATGCAACAACTTAAAGAAATTTAATTTTTCGGATAAGAATACTATCAAGCAAATATATTTACTTACCAGTACGGGTTTAGGTTCGACAAACATGTCTTGCTTGGGACCGCGCCCACCCAAGCTGAGAGTACTTGTCGGACTGCTGGTGGCTGGCGTTACACCGCCTATTGGAGTTGCATCGCTGTCGGATGAGGGGTTCACATGCACAGCAGGTTCTGGGAATATAAATCCATCCTGCGCTTGTGCACCGTCAAGTGATATCTTGCATTTGCGACTGCGAGAAATAATATACCATTTAGAATGTTAATATTAAGTTGGTTTTGTGTGAAAACGTTTTTTGAGAACCCGCACGTAATCTACAAACCTTAATGTCGAAAGACGATTTGGTGTTGAATCTTCCGCGTCGAAAAACTCTTCGGAACTATCCGAATCAGTTTCTGGCTTACTCATTTTATTAGTTCACTTTTCCAGTGGTATGTACAAACTGGTTAGCACTCATAAAAAACTTTGATTATATTTAGCAATATTGTTTTATATATGGGAACACTCATTAATTTTCAATTTTTACGTCATTATTATTAGTTAAAAATTCGTTTCGCTGCAATTTCACATCTAGCTAAATTTAATGTGGTACAGAAAAAACAATTTTTAACACATTTCTTTACAATTCAAGTTCAGTTCAATATTTAGAGACAGAGCTATTAGTTATTTAAGTGGTATGGAAGAGATTAATTAGTTTTTTTTAAAAACTATGCACAACTGCAAATTTAGACTCAAACAATAGAGAAAATGAAAGGGAGTGACGGCTATTGAATGACACATAATTGAGACAGTACTGTGAATGGTTTTGCTTGGAGCAGAAGAAGCAACGAATGACGCGAGCAAAACAAATGTAAAAAAAAACACTCATATCTATCAGAGTTACCTGGGTTTAGTAGAAAAAATTCTTTAAGATATTCTAAAAATTGCAATAATTTCATAAAATTTCTTTTATCGACCTTGAAAACTTTTTACTACGCCACAATTAAGTAAATTTAATATAAAAAGTTACATGAAATTTCCTGTAATTTAACACTTTGCCATAGTATTAAAGATTTCATTAAGGTAACATTTCAACCCTCAACCAAAACGTACACAGCTGTTCTTGACATTTGCGGGTTTTGCTAAAACGGTTGGCGTCCAAATTTTTATGCTATTTGCCATTCTCTATTTGTGTGTTTAAACGCGTGTTTATACACAAGAAATTGTAATAAATTATATTAAACATTTAATAAAATGTCACAACGTAATGATGACAGAGTACCGGCAGAAGAAAGTGATCTTCTTCAAATTAAGCCGCTGTAAGTAAAAAATAAAAATACGTACTGTAACTGTAATATCTTAATTTCAGTGGGGCCGGTCAGGAAGTTGGAAGATCTTGTATAATGTTGGATTTTAAAGGAAAGAAAATCATGGTATTTATTTGAATTTACTTGTATTTAAAAATAATAATACAATTGTAAACTATATAGCTTGATTGCGGTATACATCCTGGTTTATCCGGTATGGATGCATTACCTTATGTGGATTTGATAGAAGCTGATGAAGTTGATCTCCTCTTTATATCGCAGTAAGAACCATAAATAGCTGTTAATATCACTCACACTTTGCTAATCAATACTGTTTGTTTTATAGCTTTCATTTGGATCATTGTGGTGCTCTGCCATGGTTTTTGATGAAGACCAGTTTTCGTGGGAGATGCTTTATGACACATGCCACGAAAGCTATATATCGTTGGATGTTATCGGACTACATAAAAATTAGTAACATTTCCACGGAGCAAATGCTCTACACCGAAGCCGACTTGGAGGCGTCTATGGAAAAAATTGAAACTATAAATTTCCACGAAGAGCGTGACGTTATGGGTGTACGCTTTTGTGCTTACAATGCAGGACATGTACTCGGTGCTGCTATGTTTCTGATTGAAATTGCCGGTGTGAAAATACTTTACACGGGTGACTTTTCTAGGCAAGAAGATCGCCATTTGATGGCGGCTGAAATACCACCTGTTAAACCCGACGTTCTGATAACAGAGTCAACATATGGGACTCATATCCATGAAAAGCGCGAAGATCGTGAAAATAGATTTACAACATTGGTGCAAAAGACTGTTCAACAGGGTGGTCGTTGCTTGATACCGGTCTTCGCTTTGGGGCGCGCTCAAGAATTGCTACTTATACTAGACGAATATTGGTCGCAGAATCCTGAACTGCATGAAATACCCATTTACTATGCATCATCGCTGGCTAAGAAATGCATGGCTGTATATCAAACATACATTAATGCTATGAATGACAAGATACGACGTCAAATCGCTGTGAATAATCCATTTGTGTTTCGGCACATTTCGAATCTGAAAGGCATCGACCATTTTGACGACATTGGTCCCTGTGTTGTGATGGCGTCACCTGGTATGATGCAAAGCGGTTTGTCGCGTGAATTATTCGAAAATTGGTGCACAGATCCGAAAAATGGTGTTATTATTGCCGGCTACTGCGTTGAGGGTACATTAGCTAAAACCATTCTCTCTGAACCAGAAGAAATTACGACTTTGGCGGGACAAAAGTTGCCATTAAATATGTCAGTGGATTATATTTCGTTTTCTGCACATACTGACTACCAGCAAACTAGCGAATTCATACGGCTGTTGAAACCTCAACATGTGGTATGTTTACTATAAGCTTGCATTTTATAAATTTTGACATATATTAAATGTCTCAATCGTTTAGGTGTTGGTTCATGGGGAACAGAACGAAATGTCCCGTCTTAAGATGGCACTGCAACGTGAATATGAAGCCGACACTTCTACAAATATCAAGTTCTATAACCCCCGAAACACACATTCCGTGGAATTATATTTCCGTGGCGAAAAAACAGCCAAAGTGATGGGTAATTTAGCGGCTACAAAGCCGGAAGTTGGTAACAAATTATCTGGAGTTTTAGTGAAACGCGACTTCAAATATCACTTGCTCGCAGCTTCTGATTTGTCGAGTAAGTTATCTTTTGAATACGTTGACAATATTTATGTTAATGTAATTTTTACTTTCTAGAGTACACCGACATGAGTATGTCCGTAGTAACTCAGAGACAATCCATACCGTGGAATAGTTCGTTAAGCACTTTAAAGTTACTGCTAGATCGAATTGGTGGTGCCGGTACAACGGAAGTGATAGAGGAGGAAAAACGTATTCGCGCATTTAAGTGCATCGACTTATCGGTAGAGGGGAAAATAATTATTATGGAGTGGCAGGCAACGCCCGTTAACGATATGTTCGCTGATTCTGTACTCGCATGCATAATGCAAACTGAAATGGGTGGTACTAACATTAAGGGCACCACCGCCATATCCAAATCGGATCGCACGCATTTTAAAGAATGTTTAGTGGAAACACTGCAGGATACATTTGGCGAGCATTCAGTACCAAAAATGTTCAAAGGCGATGTTTTGCCGGTTACAGTGGCCGGAAAGCGAGCCGAAGTGAATTTGGAAACATTGGTTAGTTAATAAATAATATGCCAAATTTTATACATTTGTTAATATTTACTTTATTTTTAGCAAGTGCATTGCCTGGAAGATGAAAGTTTGCGACAAATTGTTAATACGGCAGTACAAAAACTGCATCAAGCTTTAGTCACCATGCCATGAGCTACAATAAATATACAATACATACAAAATTATTTTTATAATCGAATGTTAAACTTTTTATTGTGTCTGAAATAACCAAGTTTAAATTTGTTTTGGTACCTATTATTAAATTGAAAATAGTTAAGTCATACGAAATTCAATATTTTTTTTATATAAATGTATTGCGTTGAATATTAACGCTGAGTGCTCTTTGCGATCTGTTCTTTCAGCACCAAAATACTAGCGCGTTGCTCCGGTGGTAATTGCGAGATTTGCTCATCAGAAAGTTGCAATACTTGCATAATAAGAGCGGCTTTCTCCTGATCCGTTGCATCGTTTGGTATGCCACAATTCGTAGCTAAACGATTTTGTAACTGCTGTTGAGCTGTTTGTTGTTGCTGAGACATTGTTGGACCTGGGATTCCCGGTGGGCCACCTGCGTTTCCACGAAGACGGGGGTCGATCTGTCGTCGAGGATCCGTTGGGAATGACGGTTGTGGATTAACCTGTTGTGGTGGCATCTGTCGCTGTGCACGTGGATCCAAGAGTGGCGGAGGAACGGGATTCGGTATAGCGCGCATATCTTGGTCAATATTTCGAGACATGCGCGGATCCATTTGCCTTGGATCCATGTTGCCAGGCCCACCTAATGCAGTGCCGCTCATAGCGCGTAAATCAATATCACCGCCTTGCATCACATTGAAATTCGGACCGGGTACGGGCATTGGTGGTCCCCCAACTAATGGTGGCGGCTGTGTTGGTTGTTGCTGTGATTGTTGTATAATATTTGATGATATATTTTGCGACTGTACGCCACCAGACAATGGATTTCCACCAAGAACAGGAGGCATCTGATTTGCTTTGAACAGCATTCCCTATAAAATTACAAAGCAAAGTTAGACACATATGTATATTCACATTTATGACAGTATTCTTACCAATGCTGCTTGCGGATCAACTATGCGCATTACAACCATCGATTGCAGCAAAGCATACGCCAGTTGTGGATTTAACATCAACATTTGACGCGCTTCTGAGGGATTATTTTGTATACAAAGCTTCATTTGCTTCATCAGTTCATACATTTGCTCTGGTGGCAAAGATGCCACTGTCTTTGTGATAATTTCTGGTGCTTGATCTGGATCACAGTGTTCGCCATAGGGATTTTCAATCTGGGGGCCTTGCAGCAGCTGTTGCATTTCCATACGTGACTTTTCCGTACAAGCATTGTCTACACGAAGTGTCCGGCCACCGATTTCATAACCATTTAGATTGCGCATTGCACTGAGAGCCGTTTCCTGATCTTTGTATTCACAAAAGCCGAAACCTTTTGGCTTTCCACTTTCGCGGTCAAACACCAGTCTATAAATACCATATGATTAGTTTTTCAAATTCACAATCAGCTTAAGGTTTTCATCTTACTTCAGGGAGAGGACCGGTCCAACCTCACTAAAAATCTCCTTAAGTTTCTCCTCTGTGGCTTCATACGGAATATTGCCCACTATTCAATAATTGCAATTAATATAGTGTATACTTTAGCAGAATTTAAAGTGTGGCGTAAAACTCACCGAAAACAGATCGCATGGATTTATCCATAATACTTTGTTCGGAATTTTTATCCGCCATGTTTCTTTTAGTTAAGTATCTGTAGTCCTTTTAAATTTTAAATTCGCAAATCAATTTTCTAATAAAAGTTCAAGTTCAAGTTAATTCAAACAATTTATAGAAGTTTCAAATTTAAATATACTTTCTGTAGATGAGCGACAAATCAAGCAGATGGAAACGACTCACGTTGACAACAAATACAGTAATGCATTACCTGTAGTACGTTTCGTGTGCACCCACATATATAAAAATTAATTTAAAAATATATTAAAATAATTTTTTTTTTTTATATAATAAAAATTTAAATTTAACTTAAATGTAAACGAAATATTGTAAATTTAAGGTTATTACATTTTATGCAAATAAAAATTCTCAATAAAATAAATGAAATATTGTCACGGCCCAACAGTATAATATTATATAATGTAATAAATCAGCAAATAATTTCGCTTGATAAAATTACGTTCGAACAATGAACTTTTGAAATTTTTTTTTTATGTTAAAAAATTTTATTATGTATTATAATATTAAATCACTGAACACTTGCATTCTCATAAATGCGTGAAATGTTCGAACACTCGAACGTAGCTATAAGTTTTCTGTTCGAGGCACTCTGTGTCGGCCATTGTCAAAATGTGTACTCTATTACTACACAATATCTAGACGTTGTCGTAATTTTTCATTTCGGTGCAAAATATTTTCAACTGAATTAAAGTGTATTAAAGTGTTTGGAAATATGCAAAAATAGTGAAAAACACAGCACAAACCAGTGTAGTAATGATTTCACTTAAAATATGTAGATTATAACACGGATTTATCGTGAAATTCGCATGCAAAAATTCTTTTGTATGACCTATACGAACGGGTCTGTCGAACGGCCTCGCAATCGCATACACAAACAGCAGTTGAAACATTCGGATTACATGCTTGGGCAGGAGTGTATGGGACTATATGTATAAAAGAAATAAAAAATTGTGTCATTGGACGTCTGTGAGTGACAGGAATGAACTCTCATAAGGAGGAGCTGAGGTAGAACTCAAGGATCAGCACATCATATATCGACTGCCGTTTAAGGTCGATACCAGCACCAACACAGTAGTAACAACACACAAAAAAGTTGACTTGGACGTAATAACTGGGGCCATAACTATTGGTATTTTTTTTTAGTTCAAACATGAGAAAAATAAATACCATTCCATATCTTTCTGCATTATCACAAATGCGTGAGCGAAGAACGGTGAAATAAAATTCAATTATTTTTGTTGCTTTCGCTACGTTCCCTAACTATATAAATAGTAAATATGCGTTGTTTCCTTTCCACACAATTTGTCGCCATCGCAATTTGACCATACTCAGTGTTCTCGTTATATAGACATTTGTATAGAGAACATTGATTGCTATGCTTAATTATGTGAACACCCCTTGAAAACTGAATAAATTTGTATAGTGATATACAAAAAATAAAAAAAGATACTGTGTTGTAACTCTGTGTATGTGTGCTGAAAAATATTAAAAAAACAAATAAAAATCTTTATAAAACATATGTACATAATTATCTACATATGCAAAAAGCAAACCGTAAAAAAGGGCAAACAACTGAGTGTGGAAGTCATTGAAAACGATCACTCTTACAAACTGTGGGAGGTGAAGCAAAAACAACGTTAACAGAAAGTGTAGCACTCATGTTCACAACACTGGCAGTGGTAATGGTAAGCTTTGGTGGAATTAACCAGTTGGTCATCAGATATACATATATGCTAACAACCGCATTCTTTGATAATTTACTATCAGATCTATGCATGCCTATTTAGAGTCACGTGTTATTAGTTGAGTATCAACATTATTATTTATAGAATTCGTTTGCTTGTAATTTTTGTTGTCAATTTGCTGCAAACAATTATGCGCGTATTAGTTTTACACCAGATGTACTCCTTTTTTTTTTAAAGAAAAATCAATAAGGGTAGCATCTCCCACTCATTACTCCTTACACCGAATTTTTTATGACTAAGTAGCTGTGCCAAGATTATCCAAGTTTCTGTTGCTTATTTGTTTAGCTTATTGCGTGTGTGTGTGTTTGTGAACAAACCTATTGAGATATGCATAAATGATTTTTTAAATTAGTAGTAGAACAAAATATTAAATTATTTATCCGGAGGTGACGTTTCTCGACACCATTTCTTATATCAGATTCTACCTGTTCCTTTTGCTTTTCATATTTTTTTGTTCTCCCGGCACACAGTTAGCTCTATCGCTTCCATTTCATCTGTGTATAATTCCACTGGTACATTTTGCCTCTTTGTTGTGTGTACTTCATATTTCTTGATTGTATTATTATTAATCGCCACACCGCGTCAGAGCTACTTCATTTGAACAATATCTACATATGTATGTACATACCTATTTACGTATTTAAAAATTTATCTACTTAGGTATTCATATACATTGTTGAACATGTATTTTAAGCTTTAAATGTTTAATTTTGTTTTGTTTTTGTCTGGTACTTTGTTGTTCGTTTGCTTATTCCTCTTGTTCATTTAGTTCCTTAATTAGTGGGTTTGCATGTGTTTGTTTGCTTTTGCCGTCATTATTATCGTCTGCTGCACCCCATACAGGATACATACATGTATAAATTGATCGCTGAAAATGCGCATAGTAGAAACAATAATAACAATATAATAATGCTCAACGAGTGCCCTTCGCCTGTATACTTACGTACATATGAATATGTGTCTTATTACCTTCTGTTGAAGTTGTATATGTGTAAGTATAACCTCTGTACTTCAATGTGCACTTCTTCATATAGATTGGGTTCTCTTTGCTGCCCATGCTTTGATTTTTTCTCGCTACCAGAGAAATATGCATTTACACTTATCGAGTTTGTGTTTAAGACTTCATTGTCATTTTCCTCCTGACAAACTCCTTTACTCATGTGTATATAAATTGCACATAGGCTTCATATCTTTATACTGATGTACAGTTACTGACAATAAATTAGAATCAAATAGATATATCCGAAATAATCAACAATATTTAATATTTGTTCGATAGATTTCCGATATGTTTTGCCTCTAATCAATCCTTACAATATTTATCTTTTAAAACACTTTGATGGTAGCTCTCTTATATTTTACCGTTATCTTTGTGTTCAAATTAAATAAAAGTGTGCTGTTGTTGTTGTGAAAAAAATATAATCAAGGGATAAAAATATCAATTACAGGCGTTATCTAATAAACAATTATATTGTAAGTATATAATCTTTAGGGTATTTTTTAAAACTTGACATTTAGCTACAGTTACGTATTATTTATAGATGAAATAAGCCGAGGAAAGCATTGCAAATTTGCAAAATAACGGGTATACCCAAAGGAAAATTGCAAAAAAGATAGGAAAAATTGCGTTTACCTGTGAAACTCCAAAAGAATGAGTATTAAAGGGATGACCATGAAAACCAACGTCTGAGGATGACAATTATATTGACATTTTATCAACACGCCATCTTTTCAAGTCCTCTGTAGCTATCCAAAGAGAATTAGGTGTAGAAATTTCTTCAAAAACTATTGCGCGTCGACTTGTAGAAAATAATCTTCTCGAAAGGAAAGTCCCAATGTTGGCAAAAAGACAGCCTAAAAATCGGATTGCTTTTGCTTCAGCGCATATCAATTGGACCGGTGAAGAAAATGCAAAAAAGTGGTATTATAATATGGGGATGTTTTTCGTGGTGCGGAGTCGGGCCGCTGTTTTCGATTCAGGAAATCATGGACCGTTGATCACAGCCCTAAAATCTATTATGGGATATGTAGTGCTTCCTTATGCTGAATGGAACATGCCTTTAGTTTGAAGCATACCGCGGGTGAGGTCAAGACTTGGCTACTGGATCAAGAGTCGATGTTTTGACTTGGCCGGCTCAATTTCCGGATTTAAATTCTATAGAAAACCTGTAGAATATTGTAAAAAAGAAAGGTGGGACCCAGTAAACATCGAAAAAGGAATGAACTATAAGAAAAAGTCCAAGAGACGTGGTATTCAATACCGAATTCAGTCTGTAAAGCTCTGGTGGGATCTATGCCGAAAAAGTGCGCTGTCTCAAATAAAGATTTTGCTACTAATTTCTAACTTATATGCATTTTTTAGTTATAATAGTTTATTATTTACGAGTTTTTGTCCCATGATTCTATTTTTATGTCAATCGAAGTTCCTTTAAAAGGTGTTTGCTGATAATACTTTAATTTATAGTTGTATTTGTATTTTGATAAATTTAAAATAAATTTTATTAACTATAAAAAATAATTATTTCTTCCTAAGAACTGTGGTAACCCTTTTTTTCAAATAGTTGTGAATATAATTTTGATTCTATTTTGTTGTCAATAATTGTATCTATTGATATATGCCCATATAGTAGAGAATTTATTGGTTTAATAAACAACACATTCATACTCATGTGCATATATTTATATGGTAAATATACTATGACTATATAATATGTACATATGTGTAATCGTTATTCTCATCTTCGGCTCGTGTGATCGTTTTCATAAATTGTTTTCTGTCTTGTCCTCATAATCGTATGTCTTTCTTGGATCAGAGGATACGACTAACTGAACTCCTTTCGACTAATATTTTGCTTTGTTCTCATCGAAAAGATGTACTCATATAAAATGAGTATCATAATTATCGTTGTGATAATTTAGCCTTCCAGCTACTAAATTTATAATTTTTTGCTGTTTTATGTGCGTAGATATGATGACTTTAGTAAGCGGTTACTCGTGTGAAACGCCATACAGAGTAATTTAAATATAGTCGATTTAGTATTCAATTTGAAGGTCACACTCGAATAACGACCCCAATCGTTGTTTATTTTATTAATTCATATTTTATTGAGTCGGCAACAAGCATATGAGAAATGACATACCTACAAGTGTTGTATAGAGTTTTGGTAACAAAGGGTGAGAATCTCTGTTCTTGAACAAAAATTTCAACTTTGGTTTTTAGAGCTGGGGCGAGCGTGGAAACTAGTATAAAAACGTATTAGGGATTCTACAGATTTTTTTAAGAATTAATAGTGCAAAGTGGCAATCAAGCGTACACTAGCGAGAAAAACCTGTTTAAAAGCATTTGTTTTTCATCTGGAAGCATAAATAATAAATTTCAGAAAACGCATTCACTTTTATTAGAAATATGTAGGGTGCCTAGTATTACCAGATTGGTAAATTGATATTGAGTCAAAGCCTTTACGAAAGTAAAAATTTTAACACAAACTGCAAAATTCTACTCTAGCATTTTAATAATGTTTAAATTTTTATTTTAAGAAATTCTTTAGATAAAAAGTTTCTTAAAAATTTCACAATGTAAAAAATATAATTTCTAGATTGACGAATCGTCGCTTAATTTACTGATGTTCTAACGAAGATGGCTAAAGAAGGGACTGCACCGATTTTATGATTTCAAGCCATACTGTCTTGAAGTAATTACTGCAACAGCATTATCATAACAAACTTTAAATACGATCACGAAGCGTAGAAATAAAAATACACAAAATGGGGGAAAACGTTCAGTGTCCGGTATGCACACTATTCCTGCATGCTGGCATGAATCTTTCAGA